GACCCCGATTCTATGTTACAAATCCGGCTAGACCAGAGTATGTACACGGGTGCAAATAAGAGCTGGAAACACAGGGAATCCAGAACAGATAAAACCTTCGGGACCACTAATGAGAGTCGCGAGATACCAGGAGGGTAAGGGAAAGGTGGGGAGAGAAAGGGGGAACTGATCACAATGATCTACATATAAACTCATCCCAGGGGGATGAACAACAGAAAAGTGGGTGAAGGGAGACTGTGGTTGATGTGAGACATGAAAAAAAAAATCTAGATTATCAATGGTTCATGATGGAGGGTAGGTGGGGGAGGGGGGAAATAGCTGATACCAAGGGCTCAAGCAGAAATAAAATGTTTTGAAAATGATGAGGGCAACAGATTTACAAATTTGCTTGATACGATGGCTGGATGTATGGATTGTGATAAGAGCTCTATGAACCGCCAATAAAGTGATTTAAATTTGAAAAAGAAGAATAGCCAACCATTTGAGATCAGAAGGGCAGCATTGACCTAAGGACAAAGTTCAGAATGGTTAGCAAAGGAGGAGGAATGCCGACAGGGAACCCGGGGAGGAAGTGGGATCCATCCGTGATGTCACGCTGAGGGGATTGCAGTGAATGAGAGGAAATAAAATGTGTGTGCATTGTTGAATGTAAAACTGATGATCTGCTTGGTAAACCTTCACCCAATTCATACTTTTTAAAAGTTTTTAATGAAGTAGGTGGGTTAGATGAACACAAAATTAGCCCCAAATGCTCTGATGGGAGCCATATGTTTCAGTTGGAAAAAGAACAGTCCAGAAAAGCTAGGCAACTTGATAAGCTTTACCTTGCAAGGCAACCTGGAGCCTAGCTCACATATCCTTTTTCCATTCTGACTCATCTGAACAGTCCCTACCTGAATGTAGGCAATAAACCCTGATATGAAAGCCTTAGGAAACCCGAACCCAGGAAACGCAGCTGACAGGATCCAGTTTGCCTTTAGCAGCTCAAGCATGACCACATAAGAGCCATACCAGTTCATTAAAAATCAAAATAAAAGGAGGGAAAAGGGACACTTT